AGTTTGGCGCCCAAACAGGGGCGCCGTAGAGGGCCATGGACCGCACGACCCCGGCGTATAACCTCCGGCAGGAGGCGTTTGGCCCCCCGAGGTTGGGGAGGATGCGTTTGAAACGCAGCCCCCGTCCTCTCCAACTTTGGAGCCAAACGTCGGAAATGCTCTATGAAGTTCCACCGACTGTCGAGGACGAGTCCTAGGTACTTCATCGCCGTCTCGACGCCGATGGTAACCCCTCCCGCCGTTATTTGGGACCCACCCGGAGGTGGCGCGTTCCCGCGGCCATGAAAACACATGGCCTCGGACTTGTGGAGCGCCACCTCGAGAGATTAATTAGCTTGCGATAAGACAGACTGGAAATCAAAACAAAATTGATTGGGATTTTGCGCTTGCGATCGAAATGCCTCTTGGGTGTCCTACTTGTTGACTGCCTCGTTGGCGCAGTGCGACTGCCCGCTGGGCAAGGAATCTTGGCTTCGATTCTCGGGTCAAGCAAAGTATTACTGGGTTTTTCAAAAAAGGAAAACTCCTTGCCTGGCAGTCGCAATGCGACCACTCGGCCAGTGAGGCAGTCTATTCCTAACATACATAAATAGCTTATGTATAACATAACGTGCAAAAAGTGTAGGAAAATATACAGGGTGATAATATAATGCATTTACATCGCCTCTACTCATCATTTCAATGAAATATTTCAAATGAAACCGCCGTACTACCGTACTGGGGCACGATGCAATCGTAATTATGTTTGTTATATTTCCTTTCATTTCCCTTTGTCGTCGGCCAGTTATTATTTACTAATTACTACAACCACTACAATTACTACATTATGTTTGTAAAACAAGTTACGGCTTGTTTATAGTGGTTTGTCGTTTTTTGTCATTTCTATGCCTGTCTTTATATTGTGACTGAGACAATCGGTAACGAATTGTACCTAATTAATTGTCATGCCTAGATTATCTACTGAATAACGAACAACACTTTTTGGCTGACAAAATTAAATCACATAGATTTAATTTTTTCAGACTGCCTCGTTGGCTAAGTGGTCGTAAGTGCGACTGCCGCTCAAGGGGTCTCGGGTTCGATTCCCGGGTCGGGCAAAGTATTACTGGGTTTTTAAACATTCTTAGTGTTAGCACGGAGTCTGGAATTGTGCTCGGTATAGGTATATGGCAATAGGCTCACCCCCTGTTACATGGGACTTATAATATAAATAGTGAAGAGTGGGCATTGGGACATTGTACAATGGCATTAAGTACCGTAATGTGCACCTCTGCCTACCCCTTCGGGGGTAAAAGGCGTGATGTTATGTTAATTTTTCATTCAAAAAAACATCCTAGTTTAATTTCTGAATTCAAAGATTTATATTTAGCAGCATTCAAAAGCTGTCTATTCTCTGTACGAATACAATAGTAGACTATTTTACTTTTACACAGACTAAACACTAGGTACTATTTAACTAAATCGGGTTGGTAGTCAGAGCAGCCTACAAATATTTTCTCAAACGTCACTCATCATCATCTTGATAATCGAATTACCCTTCTGCCTACACCATCATCATCATCAACAGCCTATAAGTGCCCACTACTGAGCAAAGCCTCTTCTCACACGGAGAAGATTTGAGCATTAATCACTTCGCTTGCACAGAGCAAGCGAGTTGGCGATTTCAAACTTATAATTTAATATTATAAGACCAGGTTTCCTCACGATGTTTTCCTTCACCGTTTGCAAGTGGTGTCTAAATAATCTTATAAAGTACATGTAACTCGGAAAAAGTCACATTTGTTCTTGTCGTTGGTAGGTTTCAAACCAGCGGGTATGCATGAGAAGCAGGCGTCTTAACCTCCGGGCCACCACGACATATCTAAGGCCTTCTGCCTTATTTCAAGATTATATAAAGAGTCTTTTTCCATTCTTATAAAACTTTCTGCAACTCCTTTTAGGAGTTTCTCTAACTCCATTTTCTTTCAAATCATTCCACGGGCATTCTATCCATATTAATATTTGGTCTTTTTCCTATCCATCTGTGTGTGAAGTTTACATAAACAATTACGTGAGCTTACATAAAAGTTAAAGCACTGGTTTGGTGTCGATGACCTCAGGGCAGAGATTAAAGAAGTACGAGTAGATTATTATCTTAACACCCACATACTCGCCTAACGTTAACATACAATATTTACCTACATTATAAAATGTCAATTGGAAATTCTTTACTAGTTAAAACTTGTTTTTCAAGTACTTACAAGTTGCACGTAAGATCGGTTATTAAATACATTGTAAATGTGATTCTGATTACCAAGCTGAACGAGCCGGGCTCCATCTTTAGTGTAAGTGTCAAAGTCAAAGTCAAAATAATTTATTTCAATTAGACAAGGAAGGCACTTTTGAACGTCAACAAAAAAAATTAAAAGTGAGGCTATTTGCTCTTTCCAAGGTGTAGATTCCTATGGAAAAGACAGAGCGAGAAACTCCATAGGGTAATCTTTTTCAATCAGGTTCACAATACAATTCTTGAGTTACATAGCTTTATTGGTTCGATTGTGCGAGAACAATGTAAGAGGCATTCTTTCAATTTGAAGGTGTACTGTAAAAGTCTACCTACCAAATTTTAAATATCTAAGTACCAAAAATTCTTAGAGGGTATTAATCCAGACGTGAGTTTGTCTAGGCTCATTATGAAGTTTATTTCCACATCTAATTGATCTTTGCTCAAACCGAGGATTGAAATGAATCTTGGAAATCCCTAAGTTCCAAGTCCTTACCTATTTGAAACTTAAAGTACTTACCTTCAACAATTTAATGTTGAATATGCGACATGCACAATGAAAACATATACGAGAAAAAAAAATAACGAATAGCTTTTTAAAATTCTAATAGGTTATCGACCGTAGAGGCAATAGACACCAAACTATTTTTATGCTAATTCCCGCCATACCGTATATAACGGTATCCCTCTATAGTCTATGAATAACTCTATATTGGAAATATTGTCTCTGATATCAAGGAGACATTTTATCAGAAAACTAGTTTATTTCGGAATTTTAATTATTTATTTATGCAAAATATTTTTAAATAAATTATAACAGTAAACTGTGTCGGTAATAAAATATTAGGTCACTATGTAAAATATGTTTGTTTTTATTTTATTTTTAACAAAATAAGATTTTAATGTTTATTTATTTCTTTAGAGCCGATTTTTCAATCATCCGTTAATTCTTAACTGTAAAATGAATAAAATTTATATTTGACAGTTTTTAGTACGGAAGAATTGTCAAATATTCCAAGTTACCTATTCCTCAGTTAAAATTTATCATGAAAAATTGGCCCTTAATCTAATAAAATAATTGATGATTTATTTTTTTATAGGTACAGTAAAAAACAGGACCAACAAAACTAAACAAATTCACAAAATCTATAGACTTACTATAACCAAGTATTATAAGTACCTGTTTAATGCATTAAAACACTAATACATATTTACTTAGCAAATAATTTACATGCGCTGACGTTTGCCAGACGACCTTAACCTATATGAATCATTTTTCAACCTAACAGGAAAGAATTTAACTCATTACCGACTGTCAGTTTGTTTGTTATGACTTTATGTCTATACTACTGGAGTAATTTTGATAAAAATGCATCTACTAGAGAAAATAAAAGCTATAATTGGCGTAAACTAATTTAACTGAACGAAGCCACGTGGAAAGACTATTAGAGGTAGAGGCGCATCAAACAACACCAAACTATTCTGTTACCCAAAATGTCTTTCAATTGGGATGATGACAGGGTATAAAAATTAAAAATCTAATAAGTCCGTAAGTTAAGTAATTAAAAAATATTAGACACGTATTTTTTTATTTTGTCGTATAATAAAACAATACTTAGATAAAACAAATAAAAGTTTAGGAGTGGGGGGTAAAACGTCATTTCTACGTATTAAATGTACATAGAAGTGACGTCACGCGACATTTCAAATCAATATATCGTCGAAAGTATTCGTTACTGTAAGAAAATAAAAAATACGTGTATAATGCTTTAAAATAATCTACCAGACGGACATTAAAATAAAAATTAGGCATCTACCCTATTATCAATTATCAATTTTGTAATACTTCAATAAAGTTGAAAATGTATTAAAACTTGGCATATCTTGATGTGGTAGCGTCCACTATGACAATGATTTCTATGGACATAAATTAAAATTGATTTGTATGTAAGTAAGTCACATGTTTGCATCAATTTTAATAAAATATACGACAATGCGTCATTGAATATAGAGGTACAATTAAATAAATAAATTTTACACCTAAATAATATTTCAGTGGGTAATAAGTAAATAGGTAAATGTTTTGATGACTGAAAACAATAAAATAATCGTTCACAACATACAGAACATTAGGATACCTTTCATGTAAGTATATCGAGATGTTAAAACATAATTAAGTGTCTTTCCCGAGGGAACAGGTTCCTCATAGGTAGGCGTGCTCTATCGTCGGCAACCATCATCGCTTACCATCAGACGAGATGGTGGCTAAACGTCAACCTATTTTATAAATATCTTATACTATTAAATAAAGCGGAATTTTTGTTTGTTTGAACGCGCTAATCTAACGTACAACATGTCTGATTTGAATAATTATTTTTGTGTTGGATAGCGCATTTATCGAGGATGGCTCTATAGCCATCCTCGATATATAGCCCATGCTATAAAACATCACTCTACGACCAAAAGGAGCTGAGCAGAGCGTGTGAAACCGCGCGGAAGTAACTAGTCAATAATAAAAAAAATATGGACAACATCATCGAATCATTCGATCACCAATAACAACTATTATGGTCGACGATAATAAGAAGAAACCGCGAGAGGATGTACGAGGAGGATTGCTCTAGGCCGTGACGGATCCTGCGGTACCAAAAAACATATTCCTATAAAAAAAATAGTACCCACCTGAAAAGGGCAACTAGCCATTAGTTACTATTAAATATAGTAACTTATTACTTACGTATATATCAACGACGCCGAAGTAGCTGAAGTTGGTGGCTGGGTCGATGTCGAAGGCGTACTTGAGGTGGTAGTGGGTGGGCACCACGTCGCCAGGCAGCAGGTACTCTGCTGGCACCGCCACGTGCAGCAAGCACGCCACCGCTACTGTGTGGAGCCAACGCATTGTGCCTGGACGAGAGGAGATAGCATCATTATTTTATCAGCATTTATTGGTAGTTTTTATACACATTTATCAGTTTTAATTTAAATGGAGTGATAATATATATTATACTTCAGTTTTACTGTAAAAAAGTAAAATTACATTACAAAGAAGGAGTAATAAAACTATTTTTAAACGTTGCCCCACACTATTATTTATTTATCCTGCATTTGCAAATAATTGCCAACGCCAAATAATTGGTTTATTTATTCAACTGTATGTAACTGATCATAAAATGCACCAAACGATACAATTTTGAAAATATGAATTGGATTTCTACAAATCATGAGTAAATTTTAAACTTTTATCCTTTTTTTACTAATATATGTGAAAGTATATTACAATGTTTGTTTGTGTTTCTTTCACGTCGTTACAGAGATATCCTAGTCCTTTCCATCATCGTACCACAAGACAATCGGCGAAGCGTCACCGATTCGTGGTAGATGTCCCGTCCTGCTAAAGACTGAAATTCTTTGCCAGAGTCTGTATTTCCTGAAGGGTATAACCTAGGAGTCTTCAAGGCCCGAGTGAATAGGTTGTTTATGGGACGACGTGCTCCATCGTAAACCGACTAGATAGTGTTCAAACTTCGTCGGCCCATCAAATATAAAATAAAATCCTCCTAGGTTTCCTTAGAATACGTGGATGAAGCCACAGGCAACGGCAGTTATCTTTCCAGTAATGTCCTATGTGGACTTTTTAAACCAAATTGCGAGAGTAATCACTATTCTACACGCAAACGAAATGCATTCAGTTTGCATTCGGTCTAAAATAAATGAAATTCAACCTACTTTACTGAAACGTTGTGTGCATTTAATGACCACAACTTTTTTATTAACAATTATGCTGACTAGCCTACCAGTGTTTTTAGCCAAACGCCACTTAGCGCTTGTCTACAGAGAGAGTAGAAACTAAATGTATGGGGATGACACTGACAAGTGTCAAAATTTACGTCATTTCCATATAATTTCGTTTTCCATTCTACATGTAGACAAGCGGTAAGTGGTATTTGGCTACAGCTGCAACAAGTCGATGTTTTTCTTGAATTATTACGCAATTTTCCTTTGTATAAAAACCTTCCTTGAACTCTGTTATAGAATCATCTGAACAAGTCCAACCGTTTTTAACCCACCTAGCAATTAGAGGGTATACTTTTGACTACCTTTTACCCGCGGCTTCGCTCGCGTCACAAAAGGATAAGAAGTAGCCTATGTGACATATACCAATATATACAGCCATCTATACCAATACTTTTGTTTTCCCTAGGGATTATAAAATTTTTCCGGGATAAAAAGTACCCTATTATTTAATCCAGACTTCTAACTTTACGTCTGCAAAAATTCAAAGCAATCGGTTTAGTAGTTACGGCGTGAAATCGGAACAAACAAACAAACTCACTTTCCGATTTATAATATTAGTAAGGATACCAATTTTTGTCTGTATGTGCTGTGACATCACAACTCTAAAATAGATGAACCGATTTCGAGATGGGACTTATTGAATACAAATAAATCTATTTTATAATTCACGTTACTTGATATAAATGGCACACACGCCTCCAAATCCTCAACAGCCGCTGTTAGCAATCTAATTCTATTATTGTGTACAAGTGTAGAATACATTTTACTACGAAAACAACCCCCTGACGATGGCCTTGGCCCCCTTACTGCCTGTGGCGACACCATAGCTAATGGGGTAATGTACTCACGTAGATCAATAAATATATATATAGCTACAATGTACGTAAAGTATACTTTGTGCATTCGATACAAGGACGGTTTTGATTGTGAACACATTGTAGTTTAATGGATGTTTAGGTGATTGCACTTTTTTATTTATTTATGTATAGAACAATGTATAGGAATGCAGCTAATAATACCAATTCGATTTCACGAATATTATATCTAAATAACAGAATAGTTTAGTAAAGATTTATTTATAGGTACTTTTACTACAGAGAAAAGTACTAGGTTTTACAATAGGTCAGTAATTTGTATACAGATGCACCTCTTAGGAATAAAAGTAAGTACATACGGGAACATTATCTCATGTTCTGTAAGATTCATATCTTACGGAAGTTGCTGAATTATATTTTACAACAATTTAACGAGTTTCTGTTGAGGAAGCGAAAGAGGTATGTAAAAATTATGGCAATTGGCGTGCCAGTCTCTGCCTACCCCTATTGGAGACAGGCGTCAGGTTATGGATGTATGTTGATAAGTTTTGGTTGCCCAATCCATTTAATTACTTGTTTTCAGACAGGAAGGACAGATCAATAGTTACGCAATTAAACAATTTCCTACATGGTTGACAACGCGCTTGTGATGCCTCTAGAGTTTTTTTATTTTTATGGGATATTCCGGTAAACGAGCAGACGGATCACCTGATAGTAAGCAATCGGCGCCGCTCATGGGCACCTGGAACACCAAAGGCATTACAAGTGCGTTACCCGCCTACGCAAGCTTTGCTTCACGTCGGTTTTCTGTGAGGCCGTGGTATCACTCCGGTCGAGCCAGCCCATTCGTGCCGAAGCATGGCTCTCCCACACTTTAAACACAGTTGCTAGTGCATTTCGACTACCTTGACAATTTATCGTCTGGCGACCCTTAAGCTTTATTGCTACCTACAGCAACTATAGGTAATAAAATATTAACATTCTTATATTACTGCAAACACAATATCTTGACAAATGTCCGTAGGTAATCACCATAGCAGAATTAATTCACATATACAGATAAATAACAAGTTATTTACCATAAAACTGAAACACATGGCGTACTAATGTATTGGTACATAAATAACTAGTCGTATACTATAAAAATCTATTTACATGTATACCTATGGCTAGGTACGTACACAGGTATACTCATTGTTGTACATACTCATTGTTATGACAACTTAAATTTATTAAACAATTGCCGTTTAGTTTAATTTTATTAATGGACTAGCTTCTACCAGCGGCTTCGCCCGGGTTTTCGTGGAATAAAAAGTAGTCTATGTGTTATTCCACACCATAATCTATCCCTTTTTAACTGTTTTAAATTTTAGGTCGAACCCTTCAGCCGTATAAACGTTATTGAGTAGAAGGGGTAGGCAGAGGTGCACATTATACCTCTGTACAATGTAACACCCACTTTTCACTATTTATGTTATGAGTCCCACGTAATAGGGGGTGAGCCTATTGCCATATACCGGGCACAATTCCAGACTCCGTGCTACCACTGAGAATATTAAAAAACCCAATCATACTTTGCCCGACCCGGGAATCGAACCCGAGCCCCCTTGCCCGGCAGTCGCACTTACGACCACTCGGCCAACGAGGCAGTCAGAGTCACAAAGATACACACATACTCACCAATTTTCGCAATTCATAATTTCAGTAAGATTGACGTCCATTTTCATAAGCTACCAGCAGACCAGGCAAACTTCGTACCGTCTAAAAATTTTTAGTCACCTTATTTTAACCCTCCCTGGACTTTCACGAACATTTTAAGACCAAAATTAGCCAAATCGGTACAGCCTTTCTCGAGTTTTAGCGAGATTTACGAAGTGAAATTATTTTTTATTTATATAGATAGAAGATTATTATCTCATTTATAACATACATAGGTACATACCACCTACATACAAATTAATATATTAGGGAACTTACAATTAGCTAATCAATTTAGGGACAACAGGGTCCTGAGAGGTCCACGATTAAAATAGGACCGATTATTGAAACTTATAAGTTTATTGTTAGTCCAGTAGTCGCAACTATGACAATTGGGCCAGAGTTCTAGTTCTATCAAAATTGTCAATAAGTAATGCGTGGACTGGAATTACTAGCAACAGTATTTTGACTGCCTCGTTGGCCAAGTGGTCGCAATTGCGACTGCCGGGCAAGGGGTCTCGGCATCGATTTTAAGGTCGGGCAAAGTGTATTACTGGGTTTAAAAAAAATTCTCAGTAGTAGCACGGAGTCTGGAACTGTGCCCGGTATATGGCAATAGGCTCACCCCCTATTACATGGGACTCATAACATAAATAGTGAAAAGTGGGTGTCACATTGTACAGTGGTATAATGTGCACCTCTGCCTACCCCTTCGAGGATAAAAGGCGTGACGTTATGTTGTAGTATTTTAAGCTTCTACTACTTACACGAAACAAATTAAAAGCAAATTAGTTTAAACTGACTGTTTAATACTAACTAGTGAGTGTGTAATAATTACACAGGATATAAAACTGGTAATAGCAGACATTTGAACTTAAGTTCACTGGTGAAAGTTAATGTGCACCAACTGTCACATGCCTACGACCGGTGCGCCTGCGCATGCAGCCATATTAAAAGGTATAGAAAGGTGCATTAATTTTATTATTTCCGATAGGAGCCGAAATGAAAGCATAAAGTAATTGTAAGTTATACTTTAGTAATGAAAGTAATTAAAAAGTACTTATAACCTATTAAAAAAGTAATTTTAACGTCCTAAAGCTAAACTAACTGCTATTCGAAACTCTTATTATTACAAAAAATATATATTAGGAGTACTGGGTGGTATTAGTTGTCTACCCCCTTGGGAGACAGGCGTGAAGTTATGTATGTATGTATTTATGTATGGTCTATGTTCGTATGATGTTCTTCTATTCTTCGAGTGCATAATTGGTTCACCATTAACAATCTAGCACTGAATGAGAAAAAACCAAATGTATTAAATTCGGTTTACCAAACGTGCGTAGTAACGATTGTGATATTGTTTTGAACGGTCAAAAGTTAGAATTTGTCGACGAGACGGTATTTTTAGGCATTACATTAGACATTAGGCAATAGGTCCGCATATAAAGGCGCTTTCGGGGAGATTAAGCTCAGCTGCTTTTGCAGTTAGACAGATTAGACAGGTCACGGACGTAGATACAGCAAGGCTTGTCAATTTTAGTTATTTTCACAGCATTATATCGTACGGTGTTTTGTTTTGGAGTCCAGCTGC